ATAAATAATAATCTGAAAAAACAATCTTTAGTCCATCTAAATAATCTGATAGAAATAATAATCTGAAAAAATAAACTCTTGTTTATATTAATAAACATTCTTTTAGGCGTCATTCACTAAATTACATTAATGTAATGTGAATTTCGTTTGTAATGCGAGAATCTTCTTTTCTGAATCTTCTAATGTAATGCGAGTTTTCTTAGTTTGCTTAAGTCTTTACATATCTTTATAAATTCAGTATGATTAATAATATTGTTAATGTTTTGTTGAATATGCTTTTATAAATAACTCATTTAAATCTAAAAAGTACACTCGATAATCTTTTAAAATAATAGTCAAAAATTAATTATAATTTTGAATTATTCATTTATATAATTAAATAAATTACTTATTAATTTAAAAATAGAATGAACCACTTAATAATGAATATCTTTAAAATTGTGTATAAATTGTTTTTATGGTGGCTAATATGATCATGAAAAGAGTTCTTTGTCAGAAATTGGTTATTTTATCATGATCATGTAAAGTTTTAAGACATTATTGTGCATTTTATGAATGTATTTATGAAGAACTTTCAACAATAGTAAGAAGGAAATTTTTTTTTTTTAGTACGCATATCTTAATTACAGGGTTGGAATTTCAATGTGTTTGTCTTGGCATGTCAAAAATTCTCAAAATCTGATAAAAAATGTCAAAAACTTGGGACAAGTTTCATTTTATTAACATTGAGATCATTTTATTAGACATTAAATCATGATCAATACTTGCATTATAAACTATAATTGTACTATAAACTAAACTCAGTGGCCCGACAGCCCATAGAGGGCCAAAGCCTACTGTGCCCATCTCAGTTTTCTTGACCTTTCGGCTCTGATGTGCTAAGACAGATGTTCCGGTTGGGTGGTCAGCCCAGTGAGGAGTCCCCAGTGTTTAGCTCCCAAGCATGCTTGGTACTCATTTTATCGACCCACTGAAGGGATGAAAGGCTGAGTCAACCTTGCCCGGCTCATGGATTGAACCAGGGACCTGTGGCACGACAGCGCGAAGCACTACCGCTCAGCCACTGGGTTATAACTATAATTATAATTTGTATTAATATATCACTCTTATAAAAAATATTGCCAAAACCATTAAATTATTTATTGATTTTTCTAAAAGCATGGTACTTTTGATATATTATAAGTAATAACTGTAAGTTGTTATAATTATTATTAATCTAAATATTGATTTTAATTATTTTATGTCACAATTCAGGCAGATTTTTTAGATTGAGTAAAACTGAAGTCGTAATTGTCTGATCTCAACTAATGAAAAAAATATTTTTTTATATGTAATGTTTGCTATTATTACTTATATGCAGGTTAGCAGTATATGTCTAATCATGGGAACGAGGTTTTGAGAAAAATTCAGGCAGCCAAAGAAAAGTTTTCTGTTTAAAAAAAATTCCTGCAAAATTTTTTTATTGTTAAAAAATGTGTCAGTTTGAAAATTTTTTACCTTGTTAAAAAACTTAAAATGTCAAGTTGTGTATTTATTAGTTTGAATTCCTTAAGTTTAGGAGTAAGTTAATTTAATAAATTATTACTAAATTAACTTTACAACATATTTTGATTTCTAACAATTTTTAACATATGCTCATTTATTCAAGAATTGTGAAAAATCAAACAAATTTTTATTCTTATATAAGCATACTTTCCAAACATATTTTTTTTAAAAAAAAATATTGTACTAAAGGAAAATGAATGAAAAATGTTAACATTTTGGGGGAAATTTTGATCCAAAAAAAGAAAAGAAAAAAAACATTTTGTTCTGAGGGACTAAGAATTCTTCTTCTTATATGTACTTGATTATTTACTACAAATCATAAATATAATATATTCCCTGATAAGAAAACTAATTATAATTTACAAAAAATATAATTCTTTTTAAATGATTTAATAATTTTTTCACTCAATCAATTCAATGGTTTAATTAAGTTAGCAGCAATATTTAGTACAGTTATTAGAATAAATTTCTTAATTACGTGTTATTTTATTATGTTATAATAAATTAGTAGGTCAACATTCTAGTCCATACAGCTGAGCATCAATAAAAGAACATTTTCAAATTTCGTTCGTATTCATACAAAACTGAAAACTGAACTTGTAGTTCTGAAAGCTTCAAAATCACTTTTTTGTAATGGCTTGCTTTGGGAAAAAGAGGAATTAAAATGGAAGTAAATGAAAACTGATTTTACATATAAAAAGAATGCGATGATTGTTAAGTGATATTTTATAAGAATTTTTTTTGCATTTTTATTTTTAATAATTAAACAAATAAAGGGATTCGATAAATTGCAATTTGACATTTTTATTTATAATTACATATTTATAATACTATAACAGGGATCTGTTTAGAAGAAATTTGGGTCTGTCCACAAAATGTTTTTTCCTTAAAACGAACCCTTCACAAAATAATTTATCTTTTAATCAGACCCTTCACAAATTTGTTTATCTTCATTATTGTTTTGTTTATCAAATAAACACTTCCGAGGGGGTTGGGGGCGAAAGAAATATGGTTCGAGACAAACAAGTTTCCCTAAGTTTAAATTCCAAATGTAGTATTCTAAGAAAATATTTCTACTTTTGCAAACATCAAGTGCACATTCTTATTAATGTTAAATAATAATTTTTTTGTAAATAAATCATTGATCAATTTATATTTATTCATAAAATTAATTAATAGAATATTATGTAAATCAAAATTAATTTCTGGCAATTTTTTAAATAAAATATTATAAATTTAAGAATTGTTTCAATTTTTTTAATGCGTAANTACATTACTAAGTTTTGTTATTTAAAATATGTCAATTGAAACTATTACAAATGTGAGTGATTTTGTTTCTATCATTCGTCCGAAATGAATATTCTGTGTAGAACAGTATAGGCTAAATACCAAATATTTGTATGTTGCATCTCTAATTTAGTAGAAGCAATTGTTGAGCAGAATCTTGTATCTCTTTACAATTGAATAACTTCTTGAAAAGGTTTTTATCAATTTTTGCAATAACAGGACCCTATTTGTACAAATTCACAAAAGCAGGACTCTGGTTAAAAGAATGTGACTTAACGCTTATTTTATATTCACAAATTATGAATTTTTTTTCACAATTTTAGAAAAACAGGACCTTTCACAAAATGTCTGGACAGACCCCTGTATAATGTTATACACATATATATTTTTATGTATATTATAATACACATTTTTATTTATAATTATCTAATATTTCCTACTCTAAAATCTTGGTTTTTGACAGTAATTTTGAAAACAAAAAGAGTTTTATGTTAAAATAATTCAAGAACATAATATTGATGGAGCACTTGTAATTTAACATGTATGTTAATTTAAAAATACTTCATATTTATTATAGCCAAAATTTTTGGTTTTCAGCAATTGCCAGAAACTTGCCACCCTGTCTAATTATGAAATTTTTTTAAAGTGCTTAAAAATATTTTTTGTTTCCTGAAAAATGCTTATTTTTTGTTGAGAAATTTGGTTATGCACACTGATTGAGAAAACATTATGAGTGATGGATTAGGAAGTGGGTTCGAGCATTTGAAGATGGTCATACAAATGTGCAGGATGACGAACAAGGTGGGCGACCTTCAGTCACTACTGACAATTTAGTGCAGAATGTTGACCAAACAGTGAGCGAAAATAAGTGTGCTTTAGGACTAAGTCGTTATCTGATGACTTTCCTCAAGTTTGTCAAAGTGCTCTTTATGAATTAGTAACTGAAAGATTAAATTACCGAAAGCTGCACTCACACTGGGTCCCGAAAATGTTGCTAAAGGTGAACAAAACCAAATGTATGGGAGAGGTATCAACCTTCCTTGGGCTTTACCACGTATAAGGTGATGATTTTTTTAGCCTAATCATTTCAGGCGGTGAAACCTGGGTGACCTACAGTACACCTGAATCAAAGCATCAATGAATGAAACAGCAGGATTCAACTTCATCCTAGAAAGTGAAGTTTAAGCAAACAATGTCAGCCCAGAAAATCATGTGTACCATGTTTTGGGACAGCAAAGGGGTGTTGCTTGTGTTTTCCTTTCCGTCTAACACAAGTGCGTGTTAATTCCATAAAAAAGCCCACCTTGAAGACAAATTTCTCCCAATACTTCATCCAGGAGTTTGCTGGATTGGGTTCAAAATTACAAGGCTATGGAGTTTAACATTAGTAGTCATAAACCCCCAAAAAATGTGTCGGCTGTTCACCTACGGTTATAAAATATCAGTCTGATAGTAATGTGTTTGATGTTCAAATTCTTCATTTATTAATTGTCATTTTAGGCAGCAAATTACGACTTCTACGTTCTACAGGGAAATCAGTGTTGTCGTGATTTAGACAGGGTAGAGTTTCCAATTTTTCAAGCCAGTTCAGATGTGGCTCGTCCGGGTCCATCTTCCTCCTCCTCTCCACCCCCTGATAATGATGTTCCATCTGAGAAGTCAAGGGAAGTCACAAACTCCAACATACCTGTTGCTAAATCTGAACTCTCTGAAGGTATGACTGTATTGCAATTGCCCATCACACTGTATATTTTATGTTATGGTGAATTATTTCATTATCTTTCATTTTAAAATAATCTTAAAAAAAATTTATGAGTATCTTTTTTTCTTTAATCATCCTATGTTTTCTGCTTTTGTATTTGTGTTACTCTTTTTGTTTTGCATTTCAAGAACTTTTTTTTCAATGACTCAGAGTTTATAGTATAAAAATGAAATAAAGCAAATGTAAAATCAGATAAACAGAAAATCATTACCTCATTAGGCTTCTTGCCAATGAATAGCTCTCAGTTATCAAAGTTCCATGAAGACCTTTGCACTGAATAATGTGGTGACCATCCATAGGAGAAAGGCCACCAAGGAAGGAACAATGAAACTATTCATTTACTAAAATGTTTGCAAATGAAAATGAGTAAAAAGAAAAAACAGAAAACAAACTTACTGAGCTGAAGTAAAAGTTAAAATGCCTATATATATATATATATATATATATATTTGTATTATATAGTGGTTGACAAAATCATTCTGAATTAAATTTATTAAATCAATAATAGATTGTTAAATTAAAATCAAACTATTTAACAAACCACTCAAACTATTTAAACAAAAATGTCCTGATAATTAAAAATAAGTAAGCTGCTATAAAATTTAAAGTTGGAGAAATAATAAATTGAAATAAAAACTGAAGAAATAAAATAATAAACCACTATAAACATACTATAATTCTTACTGTTAGAGCCATGATGGGTCAGGGGATGGAGCGTTTGTCTTTGAAGAAAATGAGCGAGGTTCGAATCCCAGCGATGGCTGGTCGTTACAAATTCCGCATCCGGCTTGCAGAGACCACAGTGCTGATGTAAAATATCATCATTGGTAGACAGGTCTTGGTTTGGAGTTCCCTTGCCTTCAGGCTAGCTGCGGCAGGTTTTCATGATTTTTCCTCTTCATGTAACGCAAATGTGGGTTAGTTCCATATAAAAGTCTTCCAAGAAGGCAAATTTCTCCCAATATGTGGTCCAGCAGTTCCCTTGTCTTCTGGACTAGGATCAAAATTACAAGGCGATGGAGTTGAACATTAGTAGTCAAAAACCCAAAAAATTGGGTTGGCTGTTCAATGAAAGTTATAAAATGTAAAATAAAATCTTACAGCTGCTTACCATAAATAGATAAAATAAATCAGTTATATAAGAGCTCAGATGGGACTGCTAAAAAAGCTTGCTACAACCAAGTGTTTGCTATTGACCGTAGTTAATACTATGAAACATAATTTAGGTGATCACATTTTTGTCTTTTGAAACAGGAAACTCTGAGGAAAATTCTTTGACCAATGAGATGGAACAACTGACCACAGAAGATAAGTCTTCTCAGAGTCAAGAAGAAAGGGATGAAATCGTCATCAGCATCCAGGAAGAAAGCAGCATTAGCAAAGGTTGCTATTTTCTTTGTTGTACACTTTATGAGTTAAAGTAGACGCCCAATGGTGGCAAATCAGAATTTTTTTTATTTTATAGTTTTCCTCTTTGATTGGATAAAAA